CTCTCTCTCTCTGCACTCCCCTGTCCCAGGCTGTTGCCGCCGCTTGTCTAAATGGTCCCCGTCAGTTGAGCCTCTCACATCCCTACTCAACACTGTTGAAGACATTGTACCCAACAACTTTGTTCCGAAAAATGATTTGGCAATAGGAAATGTACCGCGTACTAATTTCGTTTTGTTTGTCTGGTTATGTTCGCAGGGCGACCACCTGATCGCCGAGTGCACGTACAACTCGGAGGCCCGGTCCACCATCACCCTGGGCGGGCTGACGGCCCGGGAGGAGATGTGCCTGGCCTTCGCCCTGTACTACCCGAGGGTGGACCTCACCCTGTGCTACTCGCTGCCCTCGCTGCCCACCGTGCTGCACTCGCTGGGCATCCAGGAGCTCATGCCGTAAGTACTTTTCTCAATCGTGTTCGCACTCATTTCGACCATTTTTTTTGTTTGTTATTTTCTCGCCGTCCGTTCATCGCCGCACCCCGCGTCGTCGGGTACCGTTTCAATTGTCGCGACGTAGAGGACGACAGAGAGGACGAAAAAAGGCGGATCAGGAGAAGTTATTGATTCCGCCCTTTTCATGTCCTCTAACCCCCCCCCCCCCTCATCTCCTCTCTCTCGCGTTATACAGTCGATTCTATTGTGGATCCGCCTTTGTACCGGGGACTTTAAGCCCTCATGCGGAATCAGTTGCCCTCCCCTCCCCCCGCCTGTATGTATTCCCTCCCGCCCGCTGCGTGCCGCTCAGGTCTGATCCTCGGGCTCATCTCTCCCCCTCTCTCACTCCCTCTTACGGGAGCCTTCGGAAGCCTTCGGGGGAGCCGTCGCCGGGGAACCTCGCGCTCAAACCCCTTTCTCCGAGGAGAGGCTTTCCGTTCCGTCCACTCTCCGCTCGCCACCGCCGTGCCAAACACGATGCACTCCCAGTCCAGTACGGACGTTGTTTGTCTTAGCTCATCAAAATTCATGTTTCTTAGCCCCTAGATTCGCAGCAGGGAATCCTTGCGTGCTTTCGGCCCAAAATGTCTCCGTGTGGTTGTGAAGGGTCTCGTGCGACTTAACACATTTACTCAGAAAAAGAAAATCGGTTGGTCCGAAATTAGTGACTTAGACTGGCAGGGAAAGGGGAAAGGCGTTCTGCCGGGGTCTCGCAAAGGAAGCACTTTGAAGTTCTCTACCAGGCGAAGCGCGCGAATGGTTCCGTGCATGTGATCAGAAAGCTTGGCCGTTTGACTTTCCAGGGGCGTCGCTTCGCGGGTTCGGCGCGGGGGCGGGCGCGGGGGCGGTATGGTGCCCGGAAGAGGCGAGGCGAGCCAAGTTTCTTTTCTTTTCCTCCGCCAATGATTGTTGGCCGGGCCAATACACCCCACTGGCGTTATTTCCGATTGTACTCGGAACTCGGTCCGCGCCGCTCGCTGCCGCTGCCGCTCCGCGCCTCGCCCAATCAGTATAGGTCCGCGGCCGGCCCGGCCCCCGCTCCTGCTGCTGGCCAAACACCCCCTGGGCCACAGGCTGGGCCAAACATAGAAAGAGTTGAGGTCAGAATCGTAAACGCCGCGAGAGACCTTACTTGTTGTTGGGTTTCCTTGTTGTTGTTGTTTTTTATCTCTGTACTATTTGGTCGGCCTGCTGCTGCACTTACTGTGGCCTCACACTCGCGCTGGCGCGCGCAAGTCGTCGTCGTCGGCAGCAGCGGGCCGCAGTGGAGCGGCGGTAAGGCTCCGGCCGCCGTCGCACAGATCTGAAACGCTTCAAATTTAAAAACTTGAGAAGTTTGCGCCAAAAAAGTTTCATTTCCCTCCTTCTCGAGAGTCGTTCCATCTCGGAGAGCCCGCTCCGCCGTCTTACTCCGCCCTGCTCCACCCCCTCTTCCTCCCGCCATATACCAGTCGGGGCGCACCCCCGCGGGACCTTGGCGTCCAGCATCCTCCCCCTCCCGACCCTCTCCCCTCTCTTCCTTTCCGGCTCCTTCCTGTCCTCCCTTACGCTTATGCTCTACGGTTGTTATTGTTTTGTTGTTGTTTTTTTTTTGTTTTTGTTTTTGCGTACCCTTCCATTTCTTTGCGCCTTATTTCCCTCCCT